AAAGCTTTTGCGATCAGCATATATCGATTGTATATATGATAATATGTGATAATGTTAATTGTATATCGATTGTGTGCGTAATGAACGTATTTTAAGTGAATATCGTTTATGTCTGTAAAGTACAAGAGTTACTTTAAATTTTTATTCATTATAGTTTTATTTATTATTTGTATTTTCAGGCACATATCCCCACTGTCTAAAAATATCGCTGGCATTCACGCACGCGCTTTATGCCATCTCAGTTCAGCATATTCGCAGTTTGCACATCTCTAATTACCGGCGTCTGTAAATTTAGTTTTGTAGCAATAACAATGACATCTGTTGATGAAAACGAAATGTATATGGTTAGGCAAGCGCAAAGCTTGCGCAAAACTGACCCCAGTTCAGCCAAAGCATGGATATTGACTGCGAAAACCCTTTATCCAAATGCATTCAATGTACAGTACGAAGCGTATCTACTGGAGCGCGATGCCAAGAACAGCGAGATGGCAGCCCAATATTTTAGTTTAATGTAAAATGGTAAACAAAACAGAAATTGAATATATATTAATAGTCCTTGCCTTTACAGCGCGACAAACTTTACCAATCAACATGCGGAGCTGTGGCAAGAGGTAAACGCCTTGACCAGTGCGCTACGCAACGAAACGGAAAATACTCCCGAGCAGGAGTTTTATGTGAAGATGTACAAGCATCTGACACCAGAGGTGCAGCACAGCATATTCGTGCACACGATAAGCAATTGCGGCGACAACTTACAGCAGTGCATCCATAGCTATATACTCATGTTCAATAAGTTTCCGAAGACGGCAGTAACGCAGGCTCCTCGGCTGCTGGAGATGCTCGCCGAAGGCATGAAAGCTGATCCGGATGTTTATCAACGCATGCTTGTGGAGGAGGTTCTGCCACTGATTCAAAACAAGCCGCCAGAGCTGAATCCAGTGCTCGCTTGTCGCCTCTACACAAACTCATTGGAGTATTATCTGCGCCAGATCATGGACGATGAGAAGTGCGACACAACGGAGGCGTGGAAAAACATATTCAAGGTGCTCATGCTGTGCGGCCAGATGATGGGCTGGGAGCCGTTTCTGCCATTCAGCAAGCAGGTTAATCAGAATGTCTACTGGGATAAGCTGGTAAAGATATTGCGCGGCAGTCCGGCTGGCAGCTCCCAGGTGCTATTCTACGCCACAACTTTGTTCATTTACTCACTGCACGGCTATATACGGAAGCTGCGCATAGAGGATGCGGAAGTGAGTCACGTCCTGGTCGAGGGCTTCATTGAATGGACGCCCGAGGGTGGCGAGGTGCAGAGCATGGACTGGACACCAGAAGGTGCTGAAGTGCAGAGCATGGAGCCGCCTAAATTTTCGGCCACCACCGCCATCAGCCAAGAGCTGTCGGAGGCCTTCCTGCACGCCGCTCGCTGCTGGCAGCTATTAAACACTGAGCAATTCCAGCGGAATTTCAGCCAGCTGATGTTGGCACTTCCCTTGGCCCCTTGGATATCACGCTTTCTCTTCGATCTGGCCATTTACTTTGGCCATCGCGATGAAGCCAACAAACTGATGGCCGACATGACGACGCAGAGCACGCTGGTGCAGAGCCTGCAAATACTTAGCCTCAATCTGATGCAGGGCAGCATGACGGTAGGGGAGAAGATATTGGAGCAATTCAGAAATATTCAGAGATTACATGCTTTTATCTAATTGCAGCTTCAGGGCTTTCAGTGCATTCTAAAGATACTCGCTGAATTGCCAGCAACGAGTGGCCAACTCTTGGAGAACATCAGCCTGAAGAGCCATCGTCACATGATATTCTTGCCGCTGACCAAAATCGCACTCATTCAGTATTGCACGCGCGCCATAACCAGTCGCTTGAGTCGCATGCTGTTCGAGCCCAACTGCTCGGATCGACTGCTGGGCGATTTGCTGGCATTGCTGCAACTGAATCCTGACAAGGATATTCTACTTAAGCAACATATTTTCAATTTGATCACGCAACGCAAATCGTTCAATTTGCACATCTTGTCGAACTATATCATTGCCACGGACATAATCGAGGAGTTGGCATACATTTGGAATACACAGCAGCAGGATGATGTCAACTTTGAGTTGACTGGCTCGCCCACGGGCAGCGGCGCCTCTGGCGGAGCGAATACACCTGCTGCTGCTGCGGCGGCTCAGCCACGTCGCATTGGCACTCGCGGCGCTGACAAGGGCGCTCGAGATGAATTCAAATCGCTGATTCGTCAGCAAATTGCGCGCTGCAACGAGCATGTGCCGACGCTGGTGGCCAATTTCATAACGCAGGAGCATCTGACGCTGGTGCAGCACATCTTTGGCATGGCTCCACCTGTGGAGACTATTGTCATCAAATGAGCACAGTCGGACTATATAATAATCAACTAGGAAACTATGCTAGTTATATGTGGGTGAAATATAGCTTGTGATCATTCAGATATGAAAACGTTATTCAGATTGACTCCATAACTCCACATAAAAGCTAAAAAACTATTGTAAGCTGTAGAGAATGAAGTTAAGTTAATATTTAAATTAAAGCTATATTGTATATATCCGATACGAAATTGTTATTCATATGAAATATTTGCAAATCGAGCTGAGAATTTAAAACAGATTGCATATTGTACATATAAAGCCTATATTTATAGCAATAATATAGAGGGATAAAATTCATATAGATAGATAAGATACTTTGCCAAGAATCTATTTTAAGCTTAGTGTAATCAGCTCTGGTAGAAACATGTATGTACATATATCTCTATATTTACATTTTATGTGTCCATTGTAAAATGCATTGTAAATTAAAAAAAAAAAAAAAAACGAGAAATTTGATTTTGCACAACAATTATATTTAATCTTTCAATTTGTATTATTTTTTTGTACAACAACAAGAAGTTAAGTTAGACTGAGAATTTGTATAGATTCTAGATTCTATCAAAAATTTATTTAACTAATCTTTGAAAGAAAAATGTTGCAAACAAATTATTATTTATATTGTTTAAAATTGAATTTTAAATTACAAAAAATAAATATATAATAAATAGTAAATATATGTAACGAAAATAATAAATATTTTAAATATTACTTTGTTGCTGACTTTTTGTTACATATACTACATAAATACACTTATACATATCGTATTTTTATCTCAACAGTCATATAAATATATTAAATTCTACTTATATATATGATATGCATATTTAAACAGTTAAATAACATTGTTTGTCTATATACTAGTTTGTGCATAAGATTGATCCTAAAGGTACAAGTTAATAGTTAATAAATACACTTAATTTTAAATCTTTCAAAATACACAAATACATCGTCAATTTAAATAGTTACTAAATCTATAGCCATTTAAATTTAATAATATTAATATGAATTCTGCTAATAGCCTCTTGCTTATGAACAATAACAATAAATAATAATAACAATGACGCAGATGACTTAACAAATGTAGCTAAGAATTTACTTGAATATCACATAATTTAATCAGATTCTTACAATTATGTTTTGGTTTCTGTTGCATTCGATTGAGAAGTGGGCGTGGCGGGCAGTTTGCTCGTTGACAATCCAATGGAATTATCTATGGGCAGAGGTAAGCCAAAGTCGTGCTTCATATACGACATGAGCACATTGTAAGCCGCTGTGCAGACATTGACAAAGGCGACACGATATTTGGTGTCCAGGTAACGAAAATTAATGTACTGTGCCGCTGGCCATGTTAGCCAATCCATCAGATATATGTAGGGAAACTTGCTAATTAGCTCCTCATTCGTGGCCTGTAGCGTTTGTCGCTCCAACAGACATACCGTATAGAAGAACAACACAATGCACACGGGTGACATAAATAACTGATCAATGAGTATTTTGTTGACAATATTTTTCATTGTGCGATGCGGCATGATGCGATCCATCCAATTGTATACGAAATGATGCAGCGGACCCTGCACCGCGCCCGCCACGAACATACGAAAGATTCGTTCGCCATCATAGCTATTCTGGCGACTCAGACCGTGATGATATTCATATTCCTGGGCAATAACATCGCCCACAGCCATCAATATACCGGACCCGAGGACATTGGTCAGCAGCAGATATTTTCCAAACATTTTGCTCCACACCAGTTTGGTCCAGCGCATAAGCATGAAAGTGCTAGCCTCGCTGGCCTCGCCCTTGCCATGTGCGTGCCGTCTTCCACACGTTCGGCCATAAGCGATTACATCAGGTCTGGGTAAGATTCGGGACTTGTTTGCAAACGCTGTGAATGTACGTTGTATTAAATATCTCCTGCTATGCTGCAGTAGTGGTTGATAGACAACTACGCATCCTCGAGCCAGCACATACATGCTGCCGCACAGATAAAAAGCACTGTTTAAGGGAACAACCAAAACCGTCTGCTTTCTAGAGCCTTGTCATCTGATAAGTATTTTTGTTTTTGTTTTTTTGTTATCACGTTACTAGTTCGTGTTTATTCTGATTATCGGTTTGCATAACGGCGAACTGGTGGGCGATGATTCATCAACAGTCGATAGTGGATTAGTCGATAGTTGTAGTTACCAAGAAAGCGTTAAAATCTATCGATACTTTTTATTGTTCTTTTATGTATATTAATTTTGATAATATTTTATATATTGAAAACTGAAAGGCAGTAAGAAAAGATTGCAGAATACACGCAGCCTCTTATCATTAAAAATCTATTTGCTTAGCTTACATTGTTATAATCGAGTTGATTGTGTGACTAGTGTAGAAATGGCAATATTAAATTAATATTAGTTTTTCAATTATACAAGGCGCTCAGGAAGTCCAATATCCATTATATTTTATTTAAAAAAATAAACAAGGTAAAAATTAGAAACAATATGTCAAATACGTGAAAATTTTTAGAATTTATATATTTGATATATCGATAGCACTTAAATATAGTTGTTTTTTTTTCGTTTGACTTGTGCATCCCTGGCAACGTCGGCGTCACTTTTCTGTTTCTGCTTTGCTCTTTAGTTCGCGTTATTTTTAGGCCGCCTAACACAATTTTTTTCTCGACGCTAGCGCGCCAAATGTTTTTCTGGCTAAAATAGACAAAAAATTCCATCAAAACACGCAGGCTTCCACTTATAAAACACAACTCACACGCAGCGCTATCAAAATTTGTAAGGTTAGACACGACTAACAAAAAGTTGTCAAAATTATGAGAAATTTGCATGCATAAATTAAAAAAGTTGACAGTGGCTAATTTATTATATTACTGCAGTGAAAATTCAATGCCATGAGGCTACTGTACGTCTTCGCGCTGATACTGGCGGTGCGCATAGCATCGGTATTCGTGGTCCAGACTTATTATGTGCCGGACGAGTATTGGCAGAGCCTGGAGGTGGCCCACAAGCTCACATTCGGGTAAGCAGGACTGCGGGAGGTCGAAACTAGAGATGAGCGCGTGTTACATGACTCAATACAACTCGTTTCCGTTTAGTATGAGTGGAATGGCATGAGAGTGGAACATGCGCTCATTTGTAATGTTATAAATTACAAATATACTTTTCACATTTGCAGCTATGGCTACCTCACGTGGGAGTGGGTGAAGGGTATACGCAGTTATGTTTATCCGCTGATAATAGCGGGCATTTATAAATTGCTCGCTCTGCTGCAGTTGGACAGCGCCCAGTTGTTGGTGGTGCTGCCACGCCTACTGCAAGCCACATTGACCGCCTACTCGGATTATCGTTTCTACGTCTGGACTGGCAAAAGAAAGTGGGCGTTGTTCCTAATACTTGTGCCATGGTTCTGGTTCTACACGGGCTCACGCACGCTGTCCAACACGCTGGAGGCGTCGCTAACCACCATCGCCCTCAGCTACTTCCCCTGGATTGGCGAGGGCTCCGCTTACCTGTGGCCCGCTGCAATCTGTTGCTTTTTGCGTCCGACTGCGGCTGTGATCTGGGTGCCCTTGGTGATTTATCATCTGCGCAAGACGAGACAACCTCCGTTGGAGCTGATTCTGAAACACTTTGTACTGATTGGGTATGTATGATCATATATACTGGCCTATATATATGTCTAAATTCCTCTTTTCTTATTCTTTCAGCGCCTTTGTAGCCGGCGTTGGTATTGCTATTGACACCTATTGGCATGGCCAATTGATTGTGACGCCTTGGGAGTTCCTCAAGTATAATATTCTACACAACATTGGCAGCTTCTACGGCTCGCATCCTTGGTATTGGTACTTCACAGTGGGTCTGCCCACAGTGCTGGGCATTAATACGCTACCCTTTATCTATGGCATCATGGAGACCGTGCGTAAGGGCGACCGGCACCCAGTGAGCAAGCAGCTCTTGATCAGCATTTTGGTTACGCTGGTGGTGCTCAGTACGGTGGAGCACAAGGAGTTCCGGTTTGTGACTTCGCTGTTGCCTCTGTGTTTGTATGTGTGTGCTGAGTCTCTGTCCCGCTGGAGCTATCGCGCCTCGAGAACTCAACTTTGGGCAGCCGCTTTGATTATTCTGCTGGGCAATGTGGTGCCCGCTTGGTATCTGAGCACGGTGCACCAGAAGGGACCCATTGAGCTGATGCCCAAGCTGCAGGAGATTGCTAAGGATTATCGTGACGAGCGCGAACAACGCGCTAATATACTCTTCCTTATGCCATGCCACTCGACACCCTATTATAGGTTGGTCCTGAAGATTATTTATAGAAATCTATATGTTTATTTATCGTTGTCTTCTCCCTTTGCAGTCACATTCATGAGAATGTCACCATGCGCTTCCTCACCTGCAATCCGAACTTGGAGCAGCGAGAAAACTTCAAGGATGAGGCTGATCGTTTCTTTGAGGCGCCCATGCACTGGCTGCGATCCCATATACCTGTTCATCCCATCACTGCACAGCCTTCCCATGTGGTCCTCTTTGATTCGCTAGAGAAGAAGATCACCGACTTCTTGATTAATTACAAACTGTTGTACAGTATCGAGCACGCCGAGGTAAAGAAATGGGTTGAGTCACCTTTGCTGCAGGATTTGTCCGCAGCATTGGGAACGCAACTGCCTAATGTCGCGTCTCTCTTGCAGCACGTGCAATCGCGTACGGGTAAGAGCATACTGGTCTATCAGCGCCTGAACAAGGGCGAGGAGAATGCATTTAATCGTCAGGAAGACGCGGAACTGCCAGCTGAGCCGCAATCGAGTGAAAATCTGTTCAATTAATTTATTTTAAAGTCAAGCAATATTTTCTTAAATTGTCCTTTTTCTATATAGCAAAGACTTGATGCGACATTTAGCCCTCCGTTACTGAAAACAAAAAGTAAGCAACTAATTGAAATTATTAACATTACGGCCTTAGTAACAGTTTTTAAAACGTATTTTTGAAACAGTTTTTGTCATCAGATTTTAATAGTTTTGTCGTAGTTGATAATATTTAAATCAATGATCTTGTATTAGGCGTGTATGTCTAAAGTGAGGCAATATATTTAAGTGCAACTAATTTAATAGTATCCTTTTTTAGTTCTTTTAAAATAAAAAGGTTGAGTAGAAAAAAAAAATTGTTTATTTAAATCGCTATTATTTGTCGTATTTGGGTATTCCATTTTTGAGTTTAGGCCATGCTCTTAATAAAGAAGTTAATACCTAAAAATATCGTTTATAATATTTAATGTTCAAATATTTAATAAATATTTTTATGGTAAGTAAATAGCATTCGTTTACCCATCGCCAAATAGAGATGTGATTTTAACGATTGCCAGAGACACCTGTGCTAATCGATGTATCGCTGCGCTTAACGCGATATATCGTGTTGAGGATCCGTGTGCCGTCGCCGTCGTTTGCACTAATTAAACGCGTTTTAAACAATAAGCTGCACAGCTTCATTTCGCACAAGCGACAGCAACAACAAAAGCACACATACACAAATAATGGCTGCTTCAATGAGAGCGCTGCTGAAAGTACGAGGTAAGTAATAAAAAAATCCAATGAAAAAAAAATACCTATTGCGAAACATTTTTATGTGTGTGTAAAATTATATAACTTATGTGCAATTTATTGCACATAGAGCGATATACAATCAGAAAAGCGGCAACAAGTAACAGCTGCTTCTTATTGGGATGTATTAATTGGAAAAATTGTATGCTGATTAGCAGTGAAAACGACGTGGCTGCAATTGCGGCATATGAATGCATATGTATGTGTGTTAAATGTACATATGTGAAGAGGGCAGAGCTAGAGATGTGAGTGGGCCATGTTCAAGGTTCGCATGTGACCCGAAAAAAAGCAAAACAAACAACAAAAGGGAAATTGTTAATTGGGAAATTCACAATTATATTTGCATTCCCCCTTCTTAGATGGCTTCACTGCCAGCGTACGTTGTGGCTCGCAGTACAACAAGACGCGTGGAAATCTGAAATTGACTGGAGACTCCCGTGTTATCTGCCAGGGCTTCACCGGCAAACAGGGAACGTTTCACAGCCAGCAGGCGCTGGAGTATGGCACCAAGCTCGTTGGTGGCATTTCGCCCAAAAAGGGCGGCACTCAGCATTTGGGCCTGCCCGTCTTTGCCTCCGTTGCGGAAGCCAAAAAGGCAACGGATCCCCATGCCACGGTCATCTATGTGCCACCACCCGGCGCTGCCGCTGCCATCATGGAAGCCTTGGACGCTGAAATTCCTCTGATTGTGTGCATCACGGAGGGTGTGCCACAGCACGACATGGTCAAGGTGAAGCATGCCCTGGTCAGCCAGGACAAGTCGCGCCTCGTCGGACCCAATTGCCCCGGCATCATCGCACCCGAACAGGTTCGTTTTTCAAGCAGCAATAAAAACATGATCTGATGCCTGAAGAAGGCCGCTCAAGAGATAAGGGAGATAAGCGCAGGGTGCAAAGTTCACGCGAGACGAATTCAAGCAGAACGTCCGATTAGCTTGCCGGTTGTTGGGTTTGTTACGTTATATGCCCTGGTAGAAATGTTGTGAGGGATATTTTGAACAAAAAAGCAAAACAAACAAAAGGGAAATTGTTTATAGGGGAAATTTCCGATATCACTACATTATATACTTTGATAAAAATGATGCGGGGAGTATTTTGAAAAACCGCAAATCAAAAATGGAATATGGGCGTGTCTAATGGTAGCACAATTTCTTGTCCGGTATGCCCTACTTTTCTATAGAAGGGGGTATATAGGCTTAAAACTTGTTTGAAATACAAATTTCCTAAGCCTAAGTATAAAGTCCAAGGTTCACTCAAGCTATGTTAAATACCCTGTAGTTGCATGCATTGCATAGATTATACTTGTAGTACTGTAACAATCTAGTTTCTAGTCTAGTTTTTTAGCTATTGCTCAGCTGCCCTCAGTGTCAGTTTAAAGGTCATCTGCCTAAGTTTCAGTGCCTTTGAATCACTCAACTGCTAAACAGGGTATAAAACAATCGACTAATTTGTAGTTGGACTTAACGTACACTAAATTGATCTGATTAGAGAAAGGCAAATTCTGTTGACTATTCTCAAGCAAGTTTGTCATAGTGAGCAAACACTGTTATATTATTTCTGTTTGCTTTCGCTTATCTCTTGAACTCGGCAAACGGCTATATCAATTTGTATCCATATATATATGATCACAGTTTGATTAAATTCAGTTGCATTTTGCAGTGCAAAATTGGAATTATGCCCGGCCATATTCACAAGCGTGGCAAGATTGGCGTCGTCTCCCGATCGGGCACCCTCACCTATGAGGCTGTGCACCAGACCACGGAGGTGGGTCTGGGCCAGACGCTGTGCGTCGGCATTGGCGGTGATCCGTTCAACGGCACCGACTTCATCGATTGCCTCGATGTGTTCCTCAAGGATCCCGAAACGAAGGGCATCATCTTGATTGGAGAGATCGGCGGTGTGGCTGAGGAGAAGGCTGCTGACTACTTGACGGAGTTCAATACGGTAAAGAAAAGGAATCCTCATTTTCAATCACCAAGACAAACTAATCGAATTCTTTCATCGTTTGCAGGGCATCAAGGCCAAGCCGGTGGTCTCGTTCATTGCTGGTGTTTCGGCTCCACCTGGACGTCGCATGGGTCACGCCGGAGCCATCATCTCGGGCGGCAAAGGCGGTGCCAACGATAAGATTGCCGCTCTTGAAAAGGCCGGCGTTATTGTTACCAGAAGTCCTGCTAAGATGGGTTACGAGCTGTTCAAGGAGATGAAGCGTCTGGAGCTAGTTTAGATAAATACAGAAGGAAATCGATCAACAACAAATTGAACAAAACCACATGTGACAAAGCCGAGGTACCACACGTACGACTCAGATGAGTAAAATATGCAAAGCAGTAAAGATTATTAACTAATTAAGCAAAAAGTGAGGAAATGAACACAGCAAAAAAAAAACTGAATTATTCGAAATCCTAAATAAATTATTGTATGTGAAGAGAATACGAATTATGAGACGTATAAAAAAGCGATCTAGAACGAACTGAATTATGTATTCCATAGAAACAAATTTAATTTAAGTAACTGCCGTACCACCTATATATATATATAGTAACTCTATATATATCCAAAGTTGGAAAAGATCACTGCACCGCGCACTTAAGATTGAAAATATGTTGCTGCACTCGCTTTAAATGGCACCAAAAAGTCAACCAACCTTATTTTAAATATGCCATTAACTATTTTGTTAACGTTCAAGCTCGAAATATATGTTAAAAACATAGATTATGTTAATATAATTGGGTTCTTAAGTAAATATTTCAAACAGCGCGCTCAAATATCAAATAATAATCCCATTCTGTTAATGTACAGAAATTGTTACTGCACTTCCAAATCATCCAAATGCAAAAAATAAATCCCTGCTGTTAGTGCTATAGAGTGAGGAGCGCAAGTGTTAGCTAATGAGTACATTTTGCACTGCAGCTAGTTATCGATAGTTATCGCTTGCCATTGTAGCACTACCCCAGCTGTTTGCATAAAATACGCCAGAATTTTGCAACACTTGCATGTCAAGCGTAAAAGAAAAAATTTCTTTGTGCAATTTATAAAAACATTTCGTGTGCTTAGCAAATTAAATAAAAAGACGTGTGTGTTAAAAGCAACAGCAGCCGGCAACAACTAAATACAACAGCAGCAGTCGCAAATAGTTGCAAACAACACAATGCCCGTGTGCTGCAAAGCGCCTGCTGTAGCATATCCAATGGGCAGCAGAACTGAAAATGGTGAGTAAAATAAATTTTGATGCGAAGCTAAACATTGAATATTACCAATCATCTATATATTTAATTGTGAAATTTTGTACATTTGGGTGAATTATTTGTCCGATAAGCCCGTTGCATACCGTTCATATTCTGCCGCATAAGTTGTTTGCAAGCGCTGCAACTTATCCAGGTACATGTCAGCCATAAGCCGGCAGCGGCTGCCCGTCTTGGTGCGATTGCCGTAGCTGAGCATCAGATCCCGTTGTTCGGGTCGGCTCGGCACAATGGATGCATTCTCGGGCATCTTCGCCTTCTCTTTCGCCTGCTTGGGGAGAATGTCGAACATTATGTTGTATGTGGTTGTATAATTGTTGACCATGTCCTCGTCCAACTTGAAGCACAATTGCGACGATCGATTGCATTTGAAGTTGTGCAGCGATTCGTTGCGCGCCCCCAGAAATTGCCGCTTCGTTTGACCGGGCTCCTCCAGCTTATGAGGTGGCACGTAGCTAACCTGTGCCTCTGATTTGTGCCGTATGCAGGCATCCACTCGGTTCAGTCCTGGCGTCACGCAATTATTCAACTCTTGACTGCCCAGACGCAATTCCTGCCAATTGGCGAGCAGCACATGCTTGCAATAGGTCCTGCAGATGCGCTCATCAATATACGAACCCCTCGGGGCGGTACTGAACATTTCCCAATTAGATGGTACGAATGGATTGTTACCGAATACTAACTTTAACCAGAAATCTCTGAATTTTCATCCAAATACATCTGCAACTATAAAACGTACACAAACCAAAAGCATTAAAAAAAAAAAAAAGATTATAAAATTGATCTGTTTGTTCTGTTAACACACATAACTAACTGAATTTAATAATATTTGGGAGCTTTGGGCTGTAGACATAGAGTTGCCCTACATTTTGCTGTCATTTTGTTGGCTGAGTTTTGTTTTTTTAAAAGGTGGCAGCACTGGTCAACTGACTAATTTACCTTGTGGCAATTCTGTCAAGCTTCAATTTCTTATTCTGTTGTACGCCATTTGCGATTTCCATAAGGATCCTTAACTATTTTTGAAGGAGTTGCGGCGTTGTCAGACCATTTTACTATTTTCTTGCAAAGCTAAATTAAGTCCTTATAAAGTATGCTAACTCTACGTCATTCTATGATAATTTATCATTATGATATTAACATATTATAATGCTCAAATCTAGTTTTTATATCAAACGCCTATATTACTATAGTTCTCTACATAGTTTAGTCTTCCTTCTAGTTTTCTAAAATTTGTTGTAATTTTAGAAATATATTTGTTTGGGTTCGAAAATAGATCGAGGAATGGATCGCAATGCGTTTCTGTGCGCCATTGTTGGCGTTTTTCGAGTGGGCTTTTATTGAAAATCTATTTCGTATGTGAGACAAACGAGCGACAGACTAAGTGACTGACCGACCGACCAACCAACCGACCGACGGACTAGGCCGCCAGGCAGGGCAGACCTCTCAGTTCGCATTCGTTGCGTTGCGATCTTGTCGTTTGTGTTGTTATTTTATCATGTACCCTGGACGTATTGAGTTATAAGTGTTTAATGGGTAGAGTGTATTGATGTAGCTACATTTGATTTTCAGGAAAACTTGTTGTCGACTGTATTTGGACATATCTAAAAACAAATCGATAAATATCGATAATAACTTGTTACAAATTATAAATTTGTTTGATATGTTATGGTATGTGTGATATGATATACCATATCATACCATATCATACTATACCTATGGTGTGGTATGGTAGAGTATGTTATGGTAAGGTATGGACTTAGGTAAAGGAAACGCAGTATATGCTACTCAATATATATTTCTTCTACAGAGTATCTAGCTAATCTATGCCAGTTTCTATTGCCTTTAAACTTTCCTCTTTTGCTTGGTTTGTTTGCATTTTTTTTATACCCTGAACCCATTTTCAATGGGAAATCAGGGTATAATGGTTTTGTTGAAATGTATGTAACAGGCAGAAGGAGGCGTGGCAGACCCCACAAAGTATATATATTCTTGATCAGGGCGACGAGCTGAGTTGATTTGGCCCTGTCCGTCTGTCTGTCCGTCTGTCCGTCCGTCCGTCTGTCCGTCTGTCCGTATGTATGAACGCGTCGATTTCAGAAGATATAAGAGCTAGAGACTTCAAATTTTTTTTTAATGTTCGTAATTACAGCGCGCATATCAAGTTTATCATTAAAAATCGATAACTCATCCCGATCTTTTTTATCGATAAAAAACCTTATCGAAAACCAGTTATAAAATTATATCTTCTACACCTTTATTGCTAGAGTCTCAAAATTTTTTAGGTATGCCTATATGCAATTTATACAATTTCGGTTTTTGTTAAAATTTACCCCCCACCCTTAAATTCACCCCCTCACCCTCACTTTTGTAAAAAGCTTATTTCAAATACTAGAGACTTGTGCTTTGGCAATTATATGCATATCCATGTCATAATCATAATCTGAAAGTTTCATGAAGATCGTACGTCCACAAAAAAGTTATTAAGCAATTAAGTTCTCATAGTAAGCGCTCACTGCCGCCCATGCGTGTTTATGCGTGGTTGCTTGTGTGTGTATGTGTGTGTGTATATGTGTGTGTGTATGAAAGTCGCGAAAAAGTATTGAAATATCTATTGCTCCAAGGGTTCAGGGGATCTCGTAGTCGAGCAGTCTCGACTAGAGCTTTCTTACTTGTTTTTTTTTTTTTTTTTTTTTTTTTTGCTGAAATAGCCCGGGCAATAGGATTTACTTTTGGCTAGCTCAGTGCATAGCTATGCTAAACATAAGTTTATATATATTTATATCTTTATCTTTGTATCGTCGATATTTATTCTGAATGTAACTAAAACAGACAGCACGCGTTGCATGCATCGAGTGTGTTATTGTTGTTGTTAGTATTGTTGTTGCTATTTGAGATGATGCTATAAACGAAATGTCGTCGTCATCTCGATTTGTTATGGTTCATTCTATTGATTGTTGTTGTTGTTGCTGTTTATGTTGTTGTTAATTGTTGTTTCGATAGTTGGTGTTGTTTTTGTTGATATTCCGCTAGGTTTCGCTTCGCTTCGTTGTGTTTCTGTTTCTGTTTACAAAAATTCACAATTTTTACTTGAACGTAAATTTTTTTTTGTGCCTTGCAGAAATGTTGAGAATTTGTTTGAATTAATTTATGAGTTTTTTCACGCTGTTTTATTTTATTTGCTATACTTTGTATGCAATGCATCTAGTATTTTCACTCTATATACATATATATATATAGCTTAATGAATCTGTGATAAGATCTTTGATTTGGCTCAGCTCCCAAGGCGCACAGAAGAAAAAGACGTCTGCGTATTCTATTTTGATGGGGCCCCAGGCAAAAGGAGTAGCTGCCTCTTTGCATAATTCATAACTCCTTGTTGGACCAGGGGTGGGGGTAATGGTGGTGCTAGTGTGGGTCAGCAAGGGGTCACAGACAAAAGCAGCAGCAATCAAATGCGACCTCATGTTGCCCCCTTGTGTATGCAACAAGAATTTTGTTTGCTACCTGCGGCAATAGAAATACTTGAGTGAGGCCCGCTCTTACGCTACGGGCCAACACGCCTATGCCAGTGTTGGAAAACGAAAGAATAAAATGTCAAGAGCGCTAGAAATGTATGTAAATAATTTAATAAACTTAGAGCGAAGTGGTATGAAGTCTATAAGCATTTGAAATAGCAAAAGCTAAAATTGTTTTTTATTTAAGCTATAAAAGTTGTAAAACTTTGCTCTACATTCTGATCTCTGTGATGGACATGCTGATATACCTCAATATCTTAACTATTTCTGCTTGTTTCTAATGATAAATATACAGTCCTATATCAAGAAACCCTTGCCATAGAGAGCTCTCTATAAGAAATGGAATAAAAAAATTCCTATACTGAAACAGATCTTTGATTTGAGAATCATTTAAGTTACTTGTAATTTCCATTTCTTTTATTTTTTATTTTCATTGAAACATAATTCTTAAATAATTTAATTTTCCGATTTAAGCTCGCCTTAAGTTTCAGTTCATGCAATCGTCGCAGGACATCTTTGAGTCAACTAAACGGCGCAGTTGTCAGTCGCTCGATTCATATGCTTGTCTGAATGTGCTTAGCTGGCGTTTTATGCTCTTTGAGAGCATGACAGGACCGCAGCATGCGTTGCCGTTGCCGTTGCCTGCTTGTTGCCGTTGACTGGTGCCTCCTCTGCTTCGAGCAGCCCGCACATTTCATCTTGTGTCAGCTGAAAAACAAGGCAACATGATTACAAGCCAGCCTTTGCCACACAGGATGAAGCCGAGCCACGCGCTTGCCTCTCATATAAGCTGCATAATCTTGGTGTTGGATGAGTGGGGGGGCGTGGCAAGGCTTGTGGCTGTGACTGTGTGTGGGTGGAGGGCGTGTGGAGGGAGATTTGTGCTTTCACCCTGTACACGCGCCGCGCTTAAAGTGAATGCGGCTCTTGTCTGCTGTGTCTCTCTTGTCTGGGTCAAGCGTTAAAGTACAACAGAAAAAACAACACCAACAACAACAAGAAGAAGCAGCAGCAGTAGAAGTAACAGTAGGTGCTTGCTTGTTGTCCTTGCTGTTAACACCTTTCATGGCCGACAAATTAATTAAAGTGCCACCCACAGGCGTTTTGTCATAAAACATTTAGCATTTTAATTGCGTCATAAAAGCAGGAAAAGGATTTGGTGGCCTTTGGCATTTGTCAGCTAATTAGATGAGATTAGTTAGCTGTGTCTATCTGGCTACATTAATTGAAGTCAATTTCTTGGCTCACAGCGACACTTAAATGCCACACCTACTCGAAGGCGTCGACGACGACGGGAAGTGTTAAACGCAGCATCCTTGCCTTTCATACACGCCTGACACTTGGCCTCGAAACGCAATGCATTGCGCTTTTAAGCTCACACGTGCGACAGACACTTGTCAACTCACTCACTCACACATTATCTCACTGACAGGCAGGCGCACACTCTCTTTACCACACAGACAAGCGCACACATACAAACAAAGTCGCTCTCTCTCTCTCTCTCGCTCTGTCTACGCTGACCCAAATAAGATGTCGTAATTGCAACAAGGCGCGACACTCACGACATTCACTCATACACGCAGACATACGTAGAATTACGTTTACGTTACGTTTACATATTACGAGAGCCGAGCAACAGTCGTCGCAAGTTGCCATCTTTACTTATACGCTCTCTTTAGCTTACGCTCCTTCTCACTCTCTCTCTAATGAGCGCGCGCTCCATGTAAACAATAGAAACAGCCGAATCAAAGCTGACGGCTTTAAAGTGCCAGCAGCGTCGGCGTTCCGTTTCAATTCCACTGTTCCGTTTTGGTAGTCTGTGCATAAATTATTTACTGCGACGCATTTGTACACACATAGGACGTTCCCCACCTCCTCAGATGCTGCGTCGTTGCTTGTTTATGTTTAATGATGCGTGTGTATAGCTAATCGCTGCGACTTCGCTTCAATCGCTTTTCAATTTGCATTTAATGGCTGCAATCGTGGCTTATTGTAATGCACGTTCTGTTGCATACTTTGAAGCTGCAATTGCGCGCTGCTTCTCTCGTTCTCTCTCGCTCTCTTTATCTATCTATTGCTCTGTTGTCGAATCTAGGGCACGGCGTGCTCAGTGCAAATCCTTTAA